GCGCGCGGAGGAACCAGAAAAACGGCGCCAACATGATCGCTGATTCGTCCGACAACAACCCGAAGGGCAACGGCGGTGCGGAGAAGAAGAAGGAGCGCACCGCGGGCCAATTCTTCCATATGGGAGACAAGGGGGAGCAAGGAGACGCATCTGCTAAGGCTGGAGCAGAGCTGCACCCCCTGGACTATTGGGTGTTGGACACAGGCGCTGCTTGGACAATGACGCCGCGCAAGGACCTGCTGGACGACGTACGCGCTGCACCGATTAATGAGGTGTGCTCTGCCTCTGGACACATGTTGAAGGTGGCTGGTGCGGGACGAGCTGCATTTAAGGGAGCGGATGGCAAGCCGGTGGTGCTGCACGACGTTCTCCTCGTCCCCGACCTGAAGGCCAACCTCATCTCCCTCCGTAAGCTTGGCAAGGCTGGGGTGAACACCAACACGGATGGGGCTCGCACTTATAAGGGGAAGCTGGGCAATCGGGTGCTTTGGGATCTGCACGAGAGCAAGGACGTGTACAGATCCATGTGGCAGCTGCCGGCGCTGGCGTGGCATGGTGAGGGGCAGGCTAGAGAGGGGTCTGCATCCCAGGGGGAGTGCAACGCCGTTGGAGGGGTTGGTGTGAAAGTGTCGGCCAGATCTGGGGAGACGGATTGGGCAACGGCACACCGACGCTTGGGGCATGTGGCAATGCCTTTGCTGAAGCAGCTGGAGAAGGATGGAGCCGTTAAGGGCTTGAAGCTGAACGGACAACCACCCGATGATAACTGTGAAATCTGTTTGCTCTCAAAGTTTACCCGTTTTCCCTTCCATAGTGTGGCTGGCAGGAGCAAGAAGCCGTTGGAGCTGGTCCACATGGACTTGGTGGGGCCGCTGCCGGTTCAGGGACACAAGGGGGAGCGGTACTTCCTGACCATTGTGGATGATTGGAGCAGGCTTATGTGGGCATATCCGCTGAAGCAGAAGGACCATGCCGCCTCTACGATACGGGAAGATTGGCTGCCATTCGTGGAGAAGCAAGCGGAGTGTGTGGTGAAGCGGATTAGGACAGATCGGGGTGGTGAGTTCCTAGGAGCTGAGATGACGGCCTGGCTCAAGAAGCAGGGCATCCAGAGGGAGCTGACCACGGCTTACACCCCACAGTCTAACGGTGTAGCAGAACGGGCGAACCGGACAATTCTGGAGACAGCTAGGGCGCTGCTCATAGAATCTGGGCTGGGCAACTCCATGTGGCCCCATGCTGTTCGGCACGCTACCGTCGCTAGGAACAGGGTACTCACAAAGGTTGGGGATGACTCGTGGGTGCCGTTGGAGAGGTGGCTTGGGAGGAAGCCGCCGGTGGACATGCTGAGGGTGTTCGGTTGCATGGCAGTCGCCCACGTCCCCAAGACCTACCGCAGTAAGTTGGGGGCGAGTGCAATCTGGTGTGTGCATTTGGGGCTGGCTGCTGAGAGCAAGGGATGGCTGCTGTGGGAACCCTCCAAGGGTGTGTTATTTGACAGCAGGGATGTGAAGTTTGTTGAGGGCATGATGTATGGGAGCTGGGAGAAACAGCCGGAGGCCAGGGTGTCCCAGCAGATGGAGCAGATCACCATGCAGCTGGACCTGACTCCTAGTGTGTGGGAGGAGGGAGAGGAGGCAGCTGCAGAGGGTGGTGATAAAGAGAAGGTGCAGGAGGCACCTGCTGGTGGAGGTGATGGTGTGGAGATTAGCGGTAGCACTAGTGGAGCTGCTGGATCCGAGGGAGGAGAGCAGCAGCAGGGGAAAACTAAGAAGCCGAAGGGTGTTATTATGAAGGGATGGGAGACACCCGTCTCCAGGCCAGGACGTACCCGTATGGCTACTAAGAAGCTGACTGCAGGAGCTGATGTAGCGGAGCAGCAGCTTGGGACCGAGGAGGCATTGCTGATTCTACAGCATGGCTATGACCCGGATGAGGAGGATCAACCTGCGTACTGTTTTCTTGCCCCTGCACCAGAGGAACCAGCTAGCATGGAGGAGGCATTAGCTGGACCAGATAGGGACAAATGGCTAGCTTCCAGGGATGCTGAGTACCAGAGCCTGCTGGAGAATGGGACTTGGGAACTAGTGGTGCTGCCTGAGGGAAAGAAAGCGGTACAATGCAAGTGGGTGCTAAGGATCAAGACTGACGACAAGGGGCAGGTCACCATCTACAAGAGTAGGTTGGTGGCTAAGGGGTTTATGCAGAAGGAGAAGCGGGACTTCAATGAGATCTTTGCTCCCACTGCCAAACCCCCTACCCTTCGTGTCTTGTTGGCAGATGCAGCCGTTGGTGGGAAGTTCATTATCCAGATGGACATATCAACGGCATTTCTCAACGGGATTTTAGAGGAGGAGGTGTTCATGACGCAGCCACCTGGGTATGAGGATGGTACGGGCAGGGTGTGCAAGCTGAAAAAGTCAATCTACGGCTTGAAGCAGGCGCCACGCTGCTGGTACCAGAAGTTGGCAGCTGTTTTAGAGGAGATGGGATTCAGGACCAGCAGCTGTGATGAGAGCCTCTTTCTCAAGAGGGAGGGGGAGAAGCTGGTGCTGTTTCTGGTCTATGTGGACGACATTCTTCTCTTTAGCAGCAGCATGAAGGAGATCCAGAAGGTGCAGCAGCAGCTGATGGAGAACTTCAAGTGCAAGAACCTTGGGGAGGTAAAGTACTACCTCGGGATGCACGTGGAGAGGGATCTGGATCACAGGTGGTTGAAGCTGCACCAGGAGAAGTTCATCAAGGAGCTTGGGGAGAAGTACGGAATTGAGAATGAGCGCAAGGTTGCAACTCCCCTGCCAGCAGAATTCAAGCTTGTGAAAGCTGCAGAGGATGAAGGGGTTGAAGCCGAGGAGCAGCAGCAATTTCAGTCCTTGGTGGGCAGCCTCTTGTATGCAGCAGTTCACACGAGGCCCGACATCTCTTTCTCGGTTGGGCAGCTGGCTAGGGTAGTGCAGAATCCATCAGAGGATCAGGTGGATGCAGCTGAGCGTGTGGTGAAGTATCTGAACTCTCACCCAAGCATTGGAGTTCAATACTCCGCATCTGCACAGGTGAAGCAGAAAGGGGTTGAGGTGCTGAAAGAGAAGGGGGAGAGGCTTGGAGAAGGCAAGCTTTTTCTCACTTGCTTTACTGATGCTACGTGGGCCTCTGAGAAGGAGGATTCCTCATCTGTGGGAGGATACATCTGCGTAGTTGGGGGAGGACCGGTTAGTTGGAGGTCAAAGAAGCAGACGGAGACAGCACTCTCTTCCGTGGAATCAGAGTACATGGCGATGTTCCATGGGGTGAAGGAGGTGATTTGGCTGAGGAGGCTGTTGGAGGAGATTGGCCAGGAGCAAAAGGTTGCTACGCCGCTGTTTTGTGATAGCAAGGGAGCTCTTGGGATGGCCAGGAACGCTGTGCTTCATGGGCTGAACAAGCACATGCGTATCAAGTGGCACTGGCTGCGTAAGGAGGTGAAGAGGGGGACGGTGAATCCGATCTACATCAAGACTCACCAGCAGCCAGCAGACTTCCTCACCAAGAGGCTTGCGGATGAGTCTCATTGGCGTTGTGTGCGCATGAGTGGAATGAGCATGAACTAGTATGGAATGATGGGGATGCAGCCGGCAGGCTGAGGGGGAGTGTGTTGGGTGCAAATTCACATTGCACGACATCCTGCCGTCTGTTTGTACGAGTATGCGTGTGCGAATGCATTTGCGTGTGAATGGTATGTTTGTGTGTTTGTTTGCTTTCGCAATTTTCGCTTGAAGCATTTGCAGGTACTCGCACAATGTGCGCTTCGGCATAACATTGTACGCGCTATGAACAGTACAAGCAGAAAGGACGAGCTCGCAAAGGAACCCAAGATGGAAGCTTTGCGGTTCAACTTACTTGATTGCGCAGATTCAGTTCTATCCAACTCGAAATTGTACTGTTTTGTTTGGTTGACTATAGTGTAGCAGGGCAGGCACTATAGGGGTACAATTTAGGTGAAGGTTGGATGTTGTTTGTCTGTATCTGCATGCTACAGGGCCAGGGGAAACCAGCGGAACCAGCATTTGGCTGGTTGGGCAAAGACAAAACAGGTTCTGTTTTTAGGACCTGAACCTGGTTGTTGTTTTCCCAGGTTGGAAAAACAGAACCAGAGGTTGTTCACCAACCTATCACCTGCTATTTTGTCCAGCCAGGTTGGTTCTGTTGCTTGGAATTATTTGGGATCATCCCTGGTTGTTCCCAGGTTGATTCCCAAGGTCCTTGCTAGCTAGAGCTATTTATTCCTTCTCTGTTTGTACCTGAATATAGTGAAATTGATTCAAGCGAATTCCTTCCTTGCTGGAATTTCTTTTCTACGCGGTGCGACGGCGGAATGCTACCCGAGTCAACGCTAGTACGCTAGCACTCCAACGCTAGGCTAACGCTGTCCGAGCCATAACTTCGTAATGGCAGAACTTTTCGCGAGGCAACTTGGCTTATTTTAAAGCTCTTAGAGTGAGCTTCGATATAGGAAATTCTCAGCTTAATCCGATCGACGGTCTGCACGATACGCTGCGCGACGTTCAAGGTACTCTTGCTGTTTTGACTAAGTCCCTCTTGATCCCTCTCTCTACAAACTCGGACCCGAGGATAGGGGCTGGTCTTGTACCAGGCACCCAAGGACCCTTGGAGGTGACCCCGAGGAGAGGTTTTAAGTGTGATAAAGTCTTAATAGCTTGAGTTTATTAGGCCCTTACACCAACAGCAGACACACTAGCACCTAGAGCAACAGCCTCACCAGCACCTAGACCAGCAGCCTCAATGCCCGGGTCGGGCAGAACACACAGGTAACAGTCACCCTCAAGACTATCAGACACAGCATACGTTGCAACAAGAATAGCATCATAATCAAGATCAAAGATTGCAGCCCCCGCCTTTTACAACTCTCCCCAGCAAGGGATCTCAGAGGCCTCAGGGTACTGGTGGCGCCACGCGTCCGTCAGTCGGCCGAAGCAGCGCTGGGTGGAGTGCGGGCCCCCGCACTACTCACTAGCGTGGTCGCCGGTACGGAGGACGTAGGTGCAGGGACCAGTACCCCCACTGCGCTGACGCGCAGAGTACCACTCACGGAGCTGCTGAGGGGACAGGGTCTCACGAATACGTTGCTGCTGCTGGCGCGGACCACCACTGGACCCACTCCTCTGCGCAGAGCCGCGACCAGCTCCACCGCTGTCGCCGCTATCTCCGCCGCACCCGCCACCCCCGCCGCCTCCGCCACCCCCGCCGCCTTCGCCACATCCGCCGCTTTCGCTCCCTCGGCCACCGCCGCCACCACCTCCGCCTCCACTGCTGCCACCAGCACCTCCACCCCCGCCACCACTCCCACCACCACTCCCACCCCCTCCACTGCCTCCACCACCACCTCCACCGCCCCCGCCAGCCCCTCCTGCGCCCTTGCCCCCCTTGCCCTTGCCGGTGCGGCGTCTCTCGCTAGGGGCACACGCAGCGCCGACCGACTCGAAACCAACGAGGTCGGCCGTAGCAGCAGAAGCAACAGAGGGCAAGAGGGGGGAAGGGGAACACCCCTCAAAGACGGGGGTGCGAGGGTCACCACGAGAGGCTCCTACAGCGACTATGATCTTCTCTGCTGCTAGGAGGCGCTCCTCGAGGAGGTCAACGGTGAGAGTGGTGGGGCAAACTGAGAGGAAGTGGTCCTTGACTGAGCAAAGGGAGTTAGGGAGCTGGGTGACTATGTAGTAGAGGTTGATGTACATGGGGGGGGGGGGGGTTCTTAGCACACAACTCAGCAGGATGCGCAGCGCGGTAGCGAGTGTCTTTAGTGCGGAGGTGCGTAATGAGGTCAGCATCTATGGGAAAGGCAGCAAGGTCAGGGAAGAGGTATGGTAGCATGAGGCGGCTCAGCGCAGGAGTGACAGGGGAAGAGTAGCGAGCAACTACAACGTCGTACAAGGTTTGAGCACTCTTCTACTGGCTAAAGTGCGCACGCTGAGTGGTCGGTAAGTGGCGACGCATAGCAAGATGGGCAGCAGCATCGCGTGTGGCCCACTGTGAGCGAACGGTACTGTCACCAGTAGCAGGCGGGGCAGGGGAGGCACCAGACGTGAGATTGAACAGGGAGAGGTCGTCTGCCCTATCGCACTGGATGAACAGTTGGAGGTCATCGATCGAGATCTCAAAGTCAACACCACGACCCTCAGTATCAAATGTATGAACACTGGGGGTAGCCATGAGTGTAGTGGCCTAGCAAGAAGTGAGCTCACCAGTCCGAGTAAGTAGGGCCGGGGCGCACCAGTAGGAACAGCAGCGGCTCGACGGCAGGGCGGCTCGGCGGCTCAGCGGCTCGGCTGCTGGGCAACTCGGCTCTTTGGCGGCTCGGCAGTCGGGTGGCTCGGCTGTCGGGCGGCTCGGCAGTACGGCTGCTGGGCGGCTCGGCTGCTCGGCTGTTGGGCGGCTTGGCTGTCGGGCGGCTTGGCGGCTCGGTTGCTGGGCGGCTTGGCTGCTTGATGCCTCGGCGGCTTCGCTGTTGGGCGGCTCAGCTGCTGGGCTGCTCGGTAGAGGCGGCGACGGGGCCGGCAAAGGCAGCGTTGGGGCAGCTTGGGGCGGCGACGGGGCCGCGTAGGGAGGGGAGCTGCCACGGGGCCGCCAGAGGCGGCTACGGGGTCGCGTAGGGGCGGCGACAGGGCCGTGTAGTGGCGGCTACAGGGTCGTATAGGAAGGGGAGCGGCGACGGGGCCGCTAGGGGCGGCGACGGGGCCGTTAGGGGCGGCGACTGGGCCGCGTAGGGGCGGCGACCGGGCCGCGTAGGGGTGGCGACGAGGCCGCTAGGGACAGTGACGGGGCCGCGTAGGTAGGGGAGCGGCGACAGGGCCGCTAGGGGCGGCGACGAGGCCGCGTAGGGGTGGCGACGGGGCTACGTAGTGACGGTGACGGGGCCGCGTAGGGGCGGCGGCGGGGCTGCGTTGGGAGAGAGGCGGCAACGGGGCCGCTAGGGGCGGCGACGGTGCCGCTAGGGGCGGCTACGGGGCCGCGTAGGGGCGGCGACGAGGCCGCTAGGGACCACTAGGGGCCTGGGAGGGCGGCCAACAAGGCGCGCCTCGGGCAGGAGCGACTGATGCTCCGGTCAGAAAAAATATTTTAGTGGTGGGCCCAAGGAAGCGTTCCCACGAGGGAACCTGCTCTATACCATGTGAAGAAAGGAGTGAATGAACTAGCACAAGGTTGGGTACAAGCAGGAAACCCTAGGAAACTGTACCCCATAGAGTCTACCCCACTATAGCCTACACAAGCTAGATAATATGAGTTTGACAATGTACATGGGGGGGGGGGTTCTTGGCGCAGAAATCAGCAGAAGGCGCAGCTCAGTAGTGGGTGTCACTAGTGCGAAGGTGCGTAACGAGGTCAGCAATGGTCGGAAAGGCGGCGAGGTCGGGAAACAGGTACGGCAGTATGAGGCGGCTAAGAGCAGCAGTGGCAGGGGAAGAGTAGCGTGCAACTACAACGTCGTACAACATCTTAGCATTCTTGTACTGACTAAAATGCGCACGCTCAGCGGTCGGTAAGTGGCGACGCACAACAAGACGGGCAGTAGCATCTTGCGTGGCCCACTGTGAGCAAACATTGCTATCAGCATCAGTAGGCGGGGCAGGAGAGGCACCAGAGGTGAGATCGAACAGGGAGAGTCCGTCTGCCCTATCGCACTGTAGGAAAAGCTGCAGGTCATCGATCCAGACCTCGAAGTCAACAGCACGACCCTCAGCATCAATGGTAAGGACACTGGGGGTCGCCATGATAGCAGTGGTCTAGCAGGGAGGGTTCTCACCAGTCTGGGTGGGTAGGGCCGGGGCGCGCCGGAAGGAGCAGGGCTACAATAGCGGTGGCAGCGGCTCGGTAGTGGCAGTGGTGGCTCGATGGCAGCTGCTCGGCGGCTCGGCTGCTGGGCGGCTCGGCGGCTTGGCTGCTGGGCGGCTCTGCGGCTCGGTGGCTCAGGTGTTGGGCGGCTCGGCGGCTTGGCTGCTGGGCGGCTTGGTGGCTCGCCTGCTCGGGTGCTGGACGGCTTGGCGGCTCGGCTGCTGGGCGGGTCGGCGGTGAAGGGGCCGTGAAGGGCGGCGACGGGGCCGGCAGAGGCGGCAACGGGGTCGTGAAAGGGCGGCGACGGGGCCGCTAGGGGCGTCGACGAGGCCGTGAAGAGTGGCGACGGGGCCGCTAGGGGGGGCGACGGGGCCGCGAAGGGCGGCGAGGTGGCCGCGAAGGGCGGCGACGGGGCCTCCAGGGGCGGCGACGGGGCCGCTAGGGGCGGCAACGGGGCCGTAGAGGGGCTGCAAGGGGCCTAGAGGGGCGGCGACGAGGCCGCGAAGGGGCCGTAAGGGGTCTAGAGAGGCGGCGACGGGGCCACTAGGGGCGGCGACGGGGCCGCGAAGGGGCGGCGAGGGGCCTAGAGGGGTGGCGACGGGGCCTAGAGCGGCGGCGACGGGGCCGCGTAGAGGCCGTGAGGGGCCTAGAGGGGCGGCGACGGGGCCTAGAGGGGCGGCGACCGGGCCGCAAAGGGGCCGTAAGGGGCCTAGAGGGGTGGCGACGGGGCCGCAAAGGACGGCGACGGGGCCGCTAAGGGTGGCGCGAGGGGCCGTGAGAGGGGCCGCTAAGGGAGCGCGTCGTAAGGGCGGCCTACGGGGCGCGCCTCAGGTGGGAAAAATCGAGTTCAGTGGTGGTCCTTGAGAAGCGTTCCCACGAGGGAACCTGCTCTATACCATATGAAGAATGAGGAATGGATGAACTAGGAAAGAGGTGGGTACAAGTAGGATAACCTAGAAATGTTGTACCCCATATAGTCTACCCCACTACAGCCTACACAGACTATAGCATAGAATTTTGACCGATATATGCAAAACCTAACCCTAGTGCAAGTACAAAATAACACAAGGGAGAACACCTAGACTAGAACTACACAGACTATAAAATTATAGTTTGACACATTCCCATAGTCTAGGTGACGGTAGTCCTGTAGAAACAACAAGAGCAAGCAACGGGTTAGGTGGTGGGTCTGTGTTGACGCAAGTGCCTGTGGACCTATAAGATGCCATCTCCGCCTCCTCCGCTGCTATCCAGTACAAAGTCCAAGGTCCCGAGACCGCCTCGGCGTGAGTGCGAGGGATCAGGATGTCAAGGGCGTCTGGATCCAGGGGCAAGTAGCATGGCGTAGTCAAGGCGGCGTAGTCAAGTAGCATGGCGTAGTATAGTAGAGATAAGGAACAGTGGCAGCAAGGAAACCAAGCTCGAAATGCCTATCCTTGAGGACCTCCAAGGGAAAGACAGGAGCACCCCCAGAGAACGGCGTTGTGAAGGCGGTGGGAAGAGGCAAAGCCAGCGACAGTGGTAACAAGAGTTGAGACAGGCGACAGAGGTGCGCTCGGGTGAGTGACCAACGTGGACAAAACACGGGAGACGACAGGACGGGAGGCACACACGTACTAGGACAACAGGTCGTGAAGCACTGTGAGGGATGACCCAGGGAGCTGTGGAAGGACAAGAGGAGATGGAACACAAGAGCGAAGAACAAGGTGGAATGGACCGTCTGCACGGTGACGGGACCGACGACGCTCTGGGGACACAGCACAACTGAGGGAGGAACGACGAGTCCACTGGGATGAGGAATGGGACTCAATAGGGGAAACAGGAGGGGACGGTAGGGAACCACGAACAAAGCGTGCAGGTGCTGGGTCGGGGAGGTCGCGTAGTCGCAGTCGCTGCTGCTCCGCCTTCTCTGGCGTCTGCTGCAATGGTACCAGCCCCTGCTGCTGCTCCTGTGGCTCCGTCTCTGCTCTCTCCTGCTGCGACTGCAGCTGCACCCGCTGCTGCGACCGGGACTCCTGCACTACCCTCTCCTGCTACGGCCGTGACTCCTCTACTCTTTCCTGCTGGGTCTGTAACTGCACCTGCTGCTGCGGGTGGGACTCCTGCTCTACTCTCTCCTGGTGCTGCCGTGACTGCTCCTCTACTCTCTCCTGTTGTGTCTGTAACTGCACCTCCCGCTGGGGGCGGGACTCCTGCTCTACCCTCTCCTGGTGCGGCCGTGACTCCTCCTCTACCCTCTCTTGCTGCGGCTGCAGCTGCACCCGCTACTGCGACCGGGACTCGTGCGCTACCCTCTCGTGCTACTGCTGTGACTCCTCCTCTACTCTCTCTTGTTGCTGCTGCTGCTGCTGCTGCTGTGACTCCTCCTCTACGCTCTCCTGCTGCTGCTGCTACTGTGACTCCTCCTCTACTCTCTCCTGCTGCTGCTGCTGCTGCTGCTGCTGCTGCTGCTGCTGCTGCTGTTCCCTCTCAAACCGCTCACGCTTCTCCCTCTCCAACCGGAGGAGACGCTGCTCACGGGTCAGGAAACGTATAGTGCACGGTGTAGGCGCCACAGTGCCAGTGCCTCCAGCTCCAGCACCCCCAGAACCAGCACCTCCACCACCGACACCCCCGGGGCCTCCAGTACCTCCCATAGGAACACCAACACGCTCCACAGTAACTCCCCGTAGAGAAGAACGAGAAGGAAACTGCGGGACGGACGGGAAGCCAGGGGGTGAGGCAGGGCGAGGCCGCTGACTGGAGGCTACTGTGTCCTCCACAGGAGTGACCACCACGCCCACAACCCCTGCACCCCCAGAGCTGACACCACCAGCTCCTTCAGCCCCAGTACCCTCACCCTCCGCAACTGCACCCTCCGCACCCCATGACACGACAGGGACTGGACGCTGCGGGGGGGAAGAGTGCGGAGTGACGTGCGACACACCTGACGGGGCAGGACGCGAAGGGGGGGGGGGGGGCTATCGGAGCGACTGGTGGGGGCTCAAGAGTGAGGAACAGGGGGGGGGAAAAGGCCTCAGTACCTCGGTGGGGTCAACTCCTGTAGTAACAGACAGACTCGTCGAATCTGACGTCCTGAGAAGCGAAGAACTGGTTGGTGAGCAGGTCGTAGAACACCCAGGCGGAGGCGTCCAAAGGGAAGCCAAGGAAGATGCAGGCACGAGTGCGCGGAGACAACTTGTTCACGCCAGGGGCGCAAACGTGAGCCAGCAAACCCCAGACACGGAAGTTAGCTGCTACGCCCGGAGAACCTGTCCAAAAGGAGACCGGCGTCACCCGTGGATGTGCGTAGCGGACTGCCTGAGGCCACAAGAACTGGGGGGCACCGGCACGACACATGGAGGTCCGGACAACCTCCATGACCAGGCTGATGCGTCGCT